CACCTAATCCACCACTTAATCCAGTGGAAGACCCGCCATATCCACCGCTGCTTCCACCTGATCCACCAATTCCACCTAATCCACCACTTGATCCACCGGAGGAACCGCCATATCCACCGCTGCTGCCACCTGATCCACCTAATCCACCACTTGATCCACCGGAGGAACCTCCATATCCAGCGCTGCTTCCACCTGATCCACCAATTCCACCTAATCCACCACTTGATCCACCGGAAGAACCACCATATCCACCGCTGCTTCCACCTGATCCACCAATTCCACCTAATCCACCACTTGATCCACCGGAAGAACCCCCATATCCAGTGCCGCTTCCACCTGATCCACCAATTCCACCTATTCCACCAATTGATCCAGTAGAAGATCCGCCATATCCAGTGCTGCTTCCACCTGATGCACCAATCCCACCTAATCCACCACTTAATCCAGTAGAAGATCCGCCATATCCAGCGCTGCTTCCACCTGATCCACCAATCCCACCTATTCCACCACTTGATCCAGTGGAAGACCCGCTTTCACTTGATCCACCGAAGAACCGCCATATCCACCGCTGCTTCCACCTGATCCACCATTTCCACCTAATCCACCACTTGATCCAGTGGAAGTCCTCCATATCCACCGCTGCTTCCACCAGATCCACCTACTCCACCACTTGATCCACCGGAAGAACCGCCATATCCACCGCTGCTTCCATTGATCCACCAATTCCACCTAATCCACCACTTGAGCCACCGGAAGAACCGCCATATCCAGAGCTGCTTCCACCTGATCCACCTAATCCACCACTTGATCCACCGGAAGACCCGCCATATCCACCACTGCTTCCACCTGATCCACCAGTTCCACCTAATCCACCACTTGATCCAGTGGAAGAACCGCCATATCCACCGCTGCTTCCACCTGATCCACCAATTCCACCTAATCCACCACTTGATCCACCGGAAGACAGGCCATATCCACCACTGCTTCCACCTGATCCACCAGTTCTACCTAATCCACCACTTGATCCAGTGGAAGAACGCCATATCCAGTGCTGCTTCCACCAGATCCACCTACATCCCCACTTGATCCACCGGAAGAACCGCCATATCCACCGCTGCTTCCACTTGATCCACTAATTCCACCTAATCCACCACTTGATCCACCGGAAGAACCACCATATCCACCGCTGCTTCCACCTGATCCACCATTTCCACCTAATCCACCACTTGATCCACCCGGGAACCGCCATATTCACCGCTGCTTCCACCTGATCCACCTACTCCACACTTGATCCACCGGAAGAACCGCCATATCCACCGCTGCTTCCACTTGATCACCAATTCCACTTGATCCAGTGGAAGACCCGCCATATCCACCGCTGCTTCCACTGATCCACCTACTCCACCACTTGATCCACCGGAGGAACCGCCATATCCACCGCTGCCTCCACCTGATCCACTAATTCCACCTAATCCACTTGATCCACCGGAAGAACCGCCATATCCACCGCTGCTTCCACCTGATCCACCAATTCCACCTAATCCACCACTTGATCACCGGAGGAACCGCCATATCCACCGCTGCTTCCACCTGATCCACCAATTCCACCTAATCCACCACTTGATCCACCGGAGAACCGCCATATCCACCGCTGCTGCCACCTGATCCACCTAATCCACCACTTGAATCCACCGGAGGAACCTCCATATCCAGCGCTGCTTCCACCTGATCCACCAATTCCACCTAATCCACCACTTGATCACCGGAAGAACCACCATATCCACCGCTGCTTCCACCTGATCCACCAATTCCACCTAATCCACCACTTGATCCACCGGAAGAACCCCCATATCCAGTGCCGCTTCCACCTGATCCACCAATTCCACCTATTCCACCACTTGATCCAGTAGAAGATCCGCATATCCAGTGCTGCTTCCACCTGATCCACCAATCCCACCTAATCCACCACTTAATCCAGTAGAAGATTCCACCATATCCAGCGCTGCTTCCACCTGATCCACCAATCCCACCTATTCCACCACTTGATCCAGTGGAAGACCCGCCATATCCACCGCTGCTTCCACTTGATCCACCATTTCCACCTAATCCACACTGATCCAGTGGAAGACCCGCCATATCCACCGCTGCTTCCACTTGATCCACCAATTCCACCTATTCCACCACTTGATCCAGTGGAAGACCCGCCATATCCACCGCTGCTTCCACCTGATCCACCAATCCACCTATCCCACCACTTGATCCAGTGGAAAATCCGCCATATCCAGAGCTGCTTCCACCTGATCCACCAATTCCACCTAATCCACCACTTGATCCACCGGAAGACCCGCCATACCCACCGCTGCTTCACTTGATCCACCAATTCCACCTATTCCACCACTTGATCCAGTAGAAGATCCGCCATATCCAGTGCTGCTTCCACCTGATCCACCAATTCCACCTATTCCACCACTTGATCCAGTAGAAGACCCGCCATATCCACCGCTGCTTCCACTTGATCCACCAATTCCACCTAATCCACCACTTGATCCAGTAGAAGATCCTCCATATCCACCGCTGCTTCCACCTGATCCACCAATTCCACCTAATAATCCACCACTTGATCCAGTAGAAGATCCGCCATATCCAGTGCTGCTTCCACCTGATCCACAATTCCACCTATTCCACCACTTGATCCAGTAGAAGACCCGCCATATCCACCGCTGCTTCCACCTGATCCACCAATTCCACCTATTCCACCACTTGAATCAGTAGAGATCCGCCATATCACCGCTGCTTCCACCTGATCCACCAATTCCACCTAATCCACCACTTGATCCACCGAATCCGCCACTGCTGCCTCCACTTGATCCACCGGAAGACCCGCCATATCCACCGCTGCTTCACCTGATCCACCAATTCCACCTAATCCACCACTTGATCCACCGAAGACCCGCCATACCCACCGCTGCTTCCACCTGATCCACCAATTCCACCTAATCCACCACTTGATCCACCGGAAGACCCGCCATATCCACCGCTGCTTCCACCTGATCCACCAATTCCACCTAATCCACCACTTGATCCACCGAAGAACCGCCATATCCGCCGCTGCTTCCACCTGATCCACCAATTCCACCTAATCCACCACTTGATCCACCGAAGAACCGCCATATCCACCGCTGCTTCCACCTGATCCGCCGAATCCGCCACTGCTGCCTCCACTTGATCCACCGGAAGAACCGCCATATCCACCGCTGCTTCCACCTGATCCACCTAATCCACCACTTGATCCACCGAAGAACCGCCATATCCACCGCTGCTTCCACCTGATCCATCAAATCCACCTAATCCACACTTTGATCCACTAGAAGACCCGCCATATCCACCGCTGCTTCCACCTGATCCACCTAATCCGCCACTGCTGCCTCCACTTGATCCACCGGAAGAACCGCCATATCCACCGCTGCTTCCACCTGATCCACCGAATCCGCCACTGCTGCCTCCACTTGATCCACCGGAAGAACGCCGCCATATCCACCGCTGCTTCCACCTGATCCACCGAATCCGCCACTGCTCCCTCCACTTGTTCCACCGGAAGACCCGCCATATCCACCGCTGCTCCCACCTGATCCACCGAATCCGCCACTGCTGCCTCCACTTGATCCACCGGAAGAACCGCCATATTCCACCGCTGCTCCCACCTGATCCACCGAATCCGCCACTGCTGCCTCCACTTGATCCACCGGAAGAACCGCCATATCCACCGCTGCTCCCACCTGATCCACCGAATCCGCCACTGCTGCCTCCACTTGATCCACCGGAAGAACCGCCATATCCACCGCTGCTTCCACCTGATCCACCGAATCCACCACTTGATCCACCGGAAGAACCGCCATATCCACCGCTGTTTCCACCTGATCCACCGAATCCGCCACTGCTGCCTCCACTTGATCCACCGGAAGAACCGCCATATCCACCGCTGCTCCCACTTGATCCTCCTGATCCACCGAATCCGCCACTTGATCCACCGGAGGAACCAGCATCTCCACCGCTGCTTCCACCTGATCCACCAATTCCACCTAATCCACCACTTGATCCACCGGAGGAACCACCATATCCACCGCTGCTTCCACCTGATCCACCTAATCCACCACTTGATCCACCGGAAGAACCGCCATATCCACCGCTGCTTTCCACCTGATCCACCAATTCCACCTAATCCACCACTTGATCCACCGGAAGAACCGCCATATCCACCGCTACTTCCACCTGATCCACCGAATCCTCCACTGCTGCCTCCACTTGATCCACCGGAAGAACCGCCATATCCACCGCTGCTTCCACCTGATCCACCGAATCCGCCACTGCTGCCTCCACTTGATCCACCGGAAGAACCGCCATATCCACCGCTGCTTTTACCTGATCCACCGAATCCGCCACTGCTGCCTCCACTTGATCCACCGGAAGAACCGCCATATCCACCGCTGCTTCCACCTGATCCACCTAATCCACCACTTGATCCACCGGAAGAACCGCCATATCCGCCGCTGCTTCCACCTGATCCACCAATTCCACCTAATCCACCACTTGATCCACCGGAAGAACCGCCATATCCACCGCTGCTCCCACCTGATCCACCGAATCCGCCACTGCTGCCTCCACTTGATCCACCGGAAGAACCGCCATATCCACCGCTGTTCCCACCTGATCCACCGAATCCGCCACTGCTGCCTCCACTTGTTCCACCGGAAGAACCGCCATATCCACCGCTGCTTCCACCTGATCCACCGAATCCGCCACTGCTGCCTCCACTTGATCCACCGGAAGAACCGCCATATCCATCGCTGCTCCCACCTGAACCACCGAATCCGCCACTGCTGCCTCCACTTGATCCACCGGAGAACCGCCATATCCACCGCTGCTTCCACCTGATCCACCGAATCCGCCACTGCTGCCTCCACTTGATCCACCGGAAGAACCGCCATATCCACCGCTGCTTCCACCTGATCCACCGAATCCGCTACTGCTGCCTCCACTTGATCCACCGGAAGAACCGCCATATCCACCGCTGATCCCACTTGATCCTCCTGATCCACCGAATCCGGCACTTGATCCACCGGAGGAACCAGCATCTCCACCGTTGCTTCCACCTGATCCACCAATTCCGCCTAATCCACCACTTGATCCACCGGAAGAACCACCATATCCACCGCTGCTTCCACCTGATCCACCTAATCCACCACTTGATCCAGTGAAAGAACCTCCATATCCACCGCTGCTTCCACCTGATCCACCGAATCCACCTAATCCACCACTTGATCCACCGGAAGAACCGCCATATCCACCGCTATTTCCACCTGATCCACCGAATCCGCCACTGCTGCCTCCACTTGATCCACCGGAAGAACCACCATATCCACCGCTGCTTCCACCTGATCCATCGAATCCGCCACTGCTGCCTCCACTTGATCCACCGGAAGAACCGCCATATCCACCGCTGCTTCCACCTGATCCACCTAATCCACCACTTGATCCACCGGAAGAACCACCATATCCACCGCTGCTTCCACCTGATCCACCTAATCCACCACTTGATCCAACGGAGGAACCGCCATATCCACCGCTGCTTCCACCTGAGCCACCGAATCCGCCACTGCTGCCTCCACTTGATCCACCGGAAGAACCGCCATATCCACCGCTTTCCACCTGATCCACCTAATCCACCACTTGATCCACCGGAAGAACCACCATATCCACCGCTGCTTCCACCTGATCCACCTAATCCACCACTTGATCCACCGGAGGAACCGCCATATTCACCGCTGCTCCCACCTGATCCACCGAATCCGCCACTGCTGCCTCCACTTGATCCACCGGAAGAACCACCATATCCACCGCTGCTTCCACCTGATCCACCTAATCCACCACTTGATCCACCGGAAGAACCGCCATATCCACCACTGCTTCCACCTGATCCACCGAATCCACCTAATCCACCACTTGATCCACCGGAAGAACCGCCATATCCACCGCTACTTCCACCTGATCCACCGAATCCGCCACTGCTGCCTCCACTTGATCCACCGGAAGAACCGCCATATCCACCGCTGCTTCCACCTGATCCACCGAATCCACCACTTGATCCACCGGAGGAACCGCCATATCCACCGCTGCTTCCACCTGATCCACCTAATCCACCACTTGATCCACCGGAAGAACCACCATATCCACCGCTGCTTCCACCTGATCCCCGAATGCACCACTTGATCCACCGGAGGAACCGCCATATCCACCGCTGCTTCCACCGGATCCACCAATTCCACCTAATCCACCACTTGACCCACCGGAAGAACCACCATATCCACCGCTGCTTCCACCTGATACACCTAATCCACCACTTGATCCACCGGAAGACCCGCCATATCCACCGCTGCTCCCACCTGATCCACCGAATCCGCCACTGCTGCCTCCACTTGATCCAGTGGAAGAACCGCCATATCCACCGCTGCTTCCACCTGATCCACCGAATCCGCCACTTGATCCACCGGAGGAACCGCTATATCCACCGCTGCTTCCACCTGATACACTGAATCCGCCACTTGATCCACCGGAGGAACCGCTATATCCACCGCTGCTTCCACCTGATCCACTGAATCCGCCACTTGATCCACCGGAGGAATCGCTATATCCACCGCTGCTCCCACCTGATCCACCGAATCCGCCACTTGATCCACCGGAGGAACCGCCATATCCACCGCTGCTTCCACCTGATCCACTGAATCCGCCACTTGATCCACCGGAGGAACCGCTATATCCACCGCTGCTTCCACCTGATCCACCTAATGTTCCACTCGACGCCGCCCCAAGCGCCCCTCGGCCTCCCCCGAGGAGGCGCTGACGGCGGCAGCGCTTCCCCCGACGCCGAAGGCGCCAACGAAGCCGCGCGCGCTTGCGCCTCCGCCGCCTGCCTTGGCGGCTCCGAACTGGACGAAGGAGATGGCGCTGGGAGAGCTGCTGCTCGCACGCGCGCCCCGCGCCGGTCGCCCCTGCGAGGAGGCTCAGGCTCCTGCTCCCGGCGTAGGCTCCGCCGCCGCCGCCCGCGACGCCTCCTCGCGCGCCTGCTGAGGTTCCTCCCC